ATTATTTAATTAATAAAATTTACTTTAAATAATTCACATTTCAAAAGACTTCAAGAAACAGAATTTTAATTGTAATGTATAATTTTATATTTTATATATGTTGCATTATGTTGTCTTTTATATATATAATTTTGATTATTTTAATTCTTTTCGCGACATATCGAATTATAAATAGGATCCCAAATTCCAACGGCAATTATAGATCGTTTAAATGGATTTAACGGATATATATAAAGATGAAAGTATGGCTCAAAATGTTAGGTCATATGCAATAAGAAAGGAATGATTTTTTTTGTCAGTGATATATCTCTTGATGAAGATAGCGAATCTGTTCGTATAATATCTACAGATCATTACCCAGATATCTTTATCACTATATTTATCAAATATCCCGGAGACTATATTTAATGGACCGTTCATTAAATGCTATTCAAAGCTTACAAAATGCAATATGCATTCATTTATTAACGCCAATGATTTTGTCGACAGAGTTTTATGCTTAACTGCCAAGAAATGAACGTACATGACGTTTTGTTTAGGATATTTTTCCTTAGGAATATTATATAATTCACAAATTATAACATGCATCGAGATGTAACACCAAATTAATAAATTACTAAGCAATTTAATTTGCGATATTATTCAATTTATTTACAAGATCGAAGAATAAATTTGGCGCGCAATTTAAATGACTACATAACAAAAAGAGGCTACGCACTGCTCTTCACCGATTTTGAAAATTGCAGCAACGTTAGAGGATCCTGCCAAAACACCTGTAAAGCTCCGGTAAAAAATTTTTCATGCATGAAATATGTATAAACATACATAAACACGCATAAATATTCATAAACATGTATAATTATATGTATATAAAATATGTCCATACATGTTTATACATCCTTTTTTCTTTTATAAAATTACTTTTTAATGTAATGGAAATAATAATAGTAATGTGAAAACATATAAAATAATTAAAGGAATAATTTTCGCATTGTTTGTTTTAGAAAAAAACAAGTTTGGAAAAATGTAAAAAATTTGTTCATACATAATTATGCATAATTTTATATATAATTATACATAAATAATTTTTTTACATTTCTTCAAACTTGATTTTTTCTAAATCAAATAGTGCGAAAATTACCTTTTTAATTATTTTTAATGTTTTATTTCTATTACGCTAAAAAGAATTCAAAAATTGGAAAGAGACAATAGCGGTGTACATAGTGAGTCATAATCGGATCTTATAAAGTACACTTAAGATGTCATGAACCAATCAGAGGACTGCATTAGCGACTTAAGCAATTACTTAAGACGATCTCAAAATAAGAACCGATTATAAATACCAAATGAATAAGTTGAACCTCGGTTAAGACTTAATCATGAGTTGTAGAACTGAGCCTTAGATCAGCAATCATTTATCGACATAAAAATCAGTCATTTTGCTGTCTGGAGTTTTACAGGCAAGTTTGATCAAAATCTGTGAAGAACAGAACGTAGCCTGTAAGTATATAAATTCCCATTGAATTATGTAAGCATTTAAGATCCAGCTTAATTAATCTGATTTTTAATAAATTCTATCATTATCATCTGGGCTTATATTAATTACATAATAATTTAATATTAATTATATAATAATGTAGTTAAATGTAAGTTTTTTGTGAATATGCGAACTCGGAGCTGAAGACTAAACTGAATAATTATTGTGTAATTATTAAATAATTACAATAATATATTGAATTTCATTTTGGACATTTGTGGACATTTCCAATTAATAGTCGTATTCTTTTCTTGCGTTCATTTTTGATTGGTGGCTTCTTTTCCATGAAAATGCTGCATTTCTTTTCAATGTGAATATAACCAATGCGGTCGCCATTTTGATGTCTATCGGCGTGTGTCGTGTGTAATGATGGTGATGCTTGGTAGATTTTGATGATTCAAGCAAATTAACAACTCTCGGAATAATCTCGTCTTCGAGAAGATGGCGGAGTATTTAGCATCTATCTTCGGTACCGAGAAGGATAAGTAAGGGAAACTCGTTTTGCCGAATTGTAAATGAATGGAGACTTATCATAACCTACACTTTTCTTTTTTTCTTTTTCAGGGTAAACTGCTCCTTTTACTTCAAAATCGGCGCCTGCCGCCACGGCGATCGCTGCTCGCGTATCCACAATAAACCTACATTCAGTCAGGTATTAAATAATTAATCTAATTTAAATCAATAATTAATTTTTTACTATTTAAATGTGTCTACACAACATGGAAAGAATCAATTCTCATTCAACTATAACTATCTTTTATATGTTTAATATGAATTGTTGATACATATTCTTCATGATTAATATTCATTTTATATTGCTTCACTCACAATCTTTAACTTTCCAATTAATTAATTAAAACTGAGATAGAAATTTATAAATCATGATATAATAACTCGGGTAGCAACCTTGCTTATTTGCCATCATTTTGACATTAAAATGTCATCAAAGGCATAATTTTGTCATCATTTTCGTTAATGAATGACAATAAATAATGGGTGTTTTTCATTTGATGATACAAGTCGACACAAATGTTCTGTTGTTGTCATTGAACCAATTAAAAAATCAATGTTCTTACATAGCACTCTTAAACATTTAATATTGAAACAAATTAATTCTTTTCCAGACATGCCTGCTTCAAAATCTGTATGTGAATCCCCAAAATTCTGCCAAAAGTGCAGATGGTTCCCATTGTGAGTACATCATAATTCTATAATGATAATTATACATATTTTGTTAAATTCTTTTCCAAATAAAGAAACGATTTATTCTTGTTCCAGTGGTCGCAAATGTATCAGACGAAGAAATGCAAGAGCATTATGATAACTTCTTTGAAGATGTCTTTGTTGAGTGCGAAGACAAGTATGGCGAGATCGAGGAGATGAATGTGTGCGATAATCTCGGCGATCACTTGGTGGGTAACGTTTACATCAAATTTCGCAGAGAGGAAGACGCGGAGAGAGCTGTGAATGACTTGAACAACCGCTGGTTTGGTGGTCGACCAGTGTACGCCGAACTTTCACCAGTAACAGATTTCAGAGAGGCTTGTTGTCGTCAATATGAAATGGGGTAATCTTGACATTTTCTCCTAGCTTTATAAAGCGCATGATATATTATCATTTTATCTTTATTTATTTGATGAACAACAAAGATAAGATCATATATCACGTGCTTCAGATCACAGCTTTTTAAATAGAATCTATTCATGCAAATGTGTAATGATGAATGAAATCGGTTATCTCATACCTTCTGTTTTTCTTTTCGTTTTAGAGAATGCACACGGTCCGGATTCTGTAACTTTATGCACTTGAAGCCCATTTCGCGTGAGCTGCGCCGCTATTTGTACAGTCGCAAGAAGAGCGGCAGGGGACGATCTAGATCGCGTTCACGTTCACGCGGCCGAGATCGCAAGCGGCGATCGCGATCGCGCGACAGACGATCGAGATCCAAAGATCGTCGGAAAAGGGACGACAAAGGTAGGGACGGCCGATCTGGAAGATATTAATTATAGAAAATTCTTCATTCCAACTGATCTGACATTATTTAATGGACGGACTTGATACGATCGATCTATCTTGTACGTATTCCAGATGAAAAGTATCTATATATTACATATATCTTATATATTATATATTTATACATGTAATCAATAGAATTAGTGCTCTTCAACATTATATCATTTGTTAATAATTTAACGACTCCGAATTAATTGAAGGATGTCTTTTTCGCGCAATGAAAAATGACAGACACAAATAAAATATAAGCATAGAAATATATATTTTTTATTTCGTGTTATATTTTCATATAAATTATCGAACTTAAACATATACCGTGAAAAACGATGCACGTAGTTTGGTGGATATTTATGAATACAACAAAAAATTTACGTATGCTTTGCAAAGATATCCTGAATCTTCTGCAAAGAGCATCGATATAATCATACATACACATCATTATTAAATTACCTCCTTTCAAAAGCAGATGACGATAACGCTTCTTTTTATCGGATAGTTACCTAAATTTTTTATTCAAATTAAAATTGCATTTTGAAATCATTTTTATATTTTCATTTTTTCGCGAATATCATTACTTCAGTAAAAATGTAGACCGTATGATATATTAAAAAATAATTCCAAATTGTATCTATCGTACAAAAAAGAAGCCTAATGTGGGACATAATAACAATTGCCATAAGGCGCAAATAGATGGTGAAAGTTTATTTAAAAAACGGATGGTCAAGCAATCTAAAGTTTAAACGCTAAACAATTTAAAATAATTCATCTTTCTCCTCTTATTTTTCTTTATAAAAAGATATTAAATTGTATACAAGAAAACACTACCAACAGATGGGTACAGCCACAAGAATATTATATACAGCTGTAAAATAAAATCTTTTTTTTTATGAAAGAATATATACTTTGTAGGATTTAAACAAATTGTCCAAAGTTCACCTAATTTAATGCAGGCTGATGCATAGGTATGTGTATTTATGCCTGTCAATATCGCACGTATAAAATTATGATATGCGAATAATTATGATCGGTGATGTAATGGGAGATGCACGCAGTAATAATTTTTTTATTCTAATTCGATATTAAATCTATCCACAATTATATTGCTTCTTGCTCGAAATTTCAAGTATCATCGAAATCGTTCCAAGCCGTTCAATGCGCGAGCAGACGTCACAACATTTTCATAAATATCACATCGGGATGCAGTAACAGCATTTCGATATACTTTTCTTTGTACAATTTCCTTCTCTCGCGTATCTTCGATTTTCTTCCCATATCCGTTGAAAAAAAAAGCATCCCGTCAATCTTCCCGATTATATAAAAAGAAAAATGATACCGAATCATACAATAAAGATTGCGTGATATATTTATGGATTTCATAATATACGTTAATACACGCGTAACTTCTTTACCTCTCTCATCATTCACTATCAACAAGTCTCAGCATTATACATAGTGTAAAATTCGTATATTACCAAGATGATACAATTGAGTCCGACGGAAAAAGATGCATCTTCGTGGTTTATTCCCATCTGAATTTCTCCAAAATATACTGTATACAATATTTTAATTGTACTTATATATATTTATATATATACAGTCTCGTGTATGTGTGTGCGGGTGTGTAAGTGTATATGTATATAGTGTGTATTATGCGAGCGCACTCTATTTCTCTTGATGGAACAAGAAATTGAGCAGTGCGCGACACAGTCTAACTTGTTATCTTAGAAGGTACACATTATCTTTTTTTTTTACTTTTTTTCCTTTCTTATTTAACTCTTTATTTGCCCTCTTGTGTCTTACGATAATATAGTGCTCCATTTTTTTTTCCTTCAAGAAATTCGTATCTAAGCACAGAGGTATTATTCTTCCATTAATTCTCTTAAGACAGCTTGACTGTCCATATCTCGTGTAATGACATCACTTGTACGCGTCGTAAAAATATTTACATTGTTCAGATTAATAATTAATGGTTACGATACTTTAGTAGTAGTGTTCAGCGGGAGATATACGAGATCAATGTTTAGGGGGGCTAATCAGCGTAGACAATGAACTGTTGATTGTCCACATCTGCAACTTCAACTTGGACAAATTGAGGCTGTGTAAGTTGGATTTGTTGTACTTGTCTCCCAATCGCGTTCCGAGATCTGAAATTATGAAAACCAAGATCTAATCAGATAATTAAGTTCTCCTTTTTTCTACTTTACACATTGATCTTTTGAATTTAAGCAATTGATATCTTAAAATGAAAACTTAACATCATTTTATAAACATAATTATTGTCTAAATCGTCCCGTCTATTATTCTTTAATACGATAGCTTTTAAAATATTTTCACGCTCGTCTTTTATCTCAAATTCAAAGTACAACAAAGAAGCGACTTACTTGGCCTTCGCATGAGTTAATATATGCGACTTGAGGTTCGTTGATTGCGCAAACTTTTTACTGCATCCGTCGAATGGACATACATATGGCCGATCACCGGTATGGATCCTCACGTGCGTACGAAGATTAAAGTCCAAACTAAACCTCTTGCCGCATCCTTCAAATGTGCACTGAAATGGTTTTTCGCCTGTATGCACCAGCTGATGTCGTTTCAGCTTGGAACTCTCGACAAAAGCTTTGCCACATTCCGCACACACATGAACTCGTGGACCATGCGTATGCAAATGTTTGCGCATCGCACTGTTATCTCGAAACATCTTCGTGCATCCCTTGTGAGGACATGCGATCGTTCGCTCGACACCGTCCATCACCGGCGGTTTGCGCACTTTCAGCTTATGACCGGGTCGTGCAAACTCAGCAAGTTGTTTCGGATCCGACAGATCCAAACCAGGCATACCGTCTGACATCGAACTATTCGAATTGAACTTTGCATTGGATTTGCCCGTCATGTATTCCGTGTAGTCCGGATCCGGTTCTGGATTTGAACCTTCATCTGGAACATCCACATCCAGGTCAGGCGCTAATAGGATGTTACCTTTAACAGCAACAAACGGAGAGCGGTCCCAAAAAAGCTACGATACTTTTTCAATTTTTTGCTAACTATATGATATATAAATTTAATAATATATCATATAGTTTGATATATATATATATAAATATATAAACTTTATATTTTATATATACTTGGTAACAAAGAAAACAGAAATTATTAATTAGTACAGGATTGTTAAAGGAAATATTAAGGAATAAATTTATAATAAAATTGCAACGAGATATAATTTCTAATAAAATTATTATAGCAAATTAAATTAAGGCGAGAAGATGAGGCTAGACATCTTAATATAATTTCTTACATCCCATACTGAGAAAAAGAATGACATTATATTAACAGCATTATTTTAATTGCAAATAATTTTGTTAATTCAATCTCACTATTAAGGAAAATACGTCACTCTTGTTTTAATAAAATTGTATTTGTTGTGTTAATACTGTTATTGAGTCAAATAAGATTATTTTCAATTAAAATAATGCTGTTGATATAATGATGCCATTTTTTTCAGTACATAAACAAGGTAATTAAAATTATCATTTGCAATGTTAATTACTTCTGACAGAAATGGAAACATCGAATTTTTTAAACTTAAAACCACAGGATATTTTAACGTTACATCTTTCTCGTTGAAAGCTTAAAAAAAAATGCGTTTTATTCAGAAAATATGGGATATATGGAATAAAAATTTAAAAAATGCATGCCGAAAGAAGTACACTCATTATATCGCGTTTTTAATATCTAAGATCGCAAGTTCTTTCCGAAGAAAATACAATAATATTAAAGCTTGTATTGAAAATTTTTTGTACAATACGACTTATCTTTAAGGATGTATTTTTATTTTTACAAATTCATTAATATATATATTAATAAATATTATGTTATTTATAAGTTGTGTGTACAATAATCTACTTTTGAAATATAATTTTATTGTTTATTTACATTATTTTTTTATAAGTTAAAATTGAAAAATTGACAAAAATTTCAATTTTTGGTATAAATATTTTAACTCAAAATGATTTATATGAAGTTCTATTGCGATTCACAGATTAATTACAAAGATTTTAAAGAAATATTTTGTTTATTTATAGAACAATTAATCTCTGTATTACAATATAACTTCATCATCTGGAATATTTAAAGTATTTGCACAATAAATTGAGATTTTTATCATTATTTTATAATCGTTTCCATATATTTCTGTTAGAACATATATTTAAAAAACCTTACTTAAAATAAACTTTGATCCAGACGGTAAATTTTTTTTTTATTACTTTTAAATGTATGACCTAAAATAATCTGTAATTTTTAAATAGCTTTTTTTAGTATTTGTAATACATCCTTAAATATGCAATAAAAGGTCTGTCTTTTATTTCTGCATTTTCTGAACTTAGTGCACTCAGTTCTGAGAGTGCAAGTAAAAAACAGACTTAAAATATATAAAAAAACAAGGAAGGCGCGAATCAACGAAATCATCGCCCGTGTTTGAGTTCAAGACACCCGGTATATGCGTTCGCGATGCAACATGGATCTCTCGTGACGTCAGAGGATCAGAGCTTCTCGCAACTTCTTTTATGCGTCTCGAACCGTCGAGATCCATTTTTTTTTCTCCAATGAGAATCTCGACTAGAACTCGCTCTACATATCACTATTTATTTTTATCTCTCTCAAAGAGACACAAAATTTGAATGTATCGACGCCGATAGGATATCAAGTGCCGCGATGCTCCGCGACGTCGCTCGGCTCGTCCGCCGCCGCCATTTGCTTGACGGTGGACAGGCGGGCCATCCGCCGCGTTAAAGAGGCCATTTTCAAAATATGGCTGCCCCCGTGGGGCCAAGCATAATGGCGTTCGCGGGATCAAAACAAACAACGCGGCCTGTCAAGCCGGCTGGAGCACACGGCCGACGTGAATGGGCCAGGTAGCCGATTTTTCCATACGGAGATCGCGCGCCCGTGCAGCGACGCAGTATCGATCTGAGCATCGCACCGGAAGTGCGTATCCGCCCGTGTGCGTGGTGGATAACGAAGGGGCCAGGAGAAACGAGGGGAAAGACGAAGGAGAAGAGAAAGAAATAAAGAAACTCCTTTTTAGCTTGAGAACTCGGAGAGCGATGGATAAAAAGAACGGAAAAAGAAAAAAACAGAGAAAAATGAATGAGAATGAAAGAACAGAAGTCTGAATGGAGGAGTCCAGAGGAAGACTGAAAATGTGTAAAAAGACTCACCGTCGTCCGTGCCGGACGCCCACATCGTTACCGAAAACTCGCCCTCGAGCGTCTTGATCTGCACCTGCTTCTGTTCCCACTTTCTAGCCTTGGTCTCAGTAGCCATCTCGCCGAAAATCGCGTGGTCGGAGGCACGGAAACGCGTGCCACCGCTCTTACGCGCCTTCTTAGCAGCTTTACGCGACGGCCCAGGGCTGGACTCGACATAAATGTCGTTATCCGGCACCGGGATCTGGTCGTATACGCTAAGCGGATCGGCGCCAACGATCTCCTCTTGTGTCTGCAGTATGATTTCTTCTCGACCCGGCTCCGGCAATGGCTGCAGCGCTATCATCGGCTGCCCGTCCTCGCCCTCGATCGTCGTCTCCACGGTCTCGCACGGTATCTCCACCGGTATCGCCTCTATCTCAACCTCCTGGATGTCCGGTTGGATCTCCACTTCGGTTATTATGTCCGAGGACGCCATATTAATCTCCGGCGGCGACGCCATGTTAACGTACCAAAATGGCTGGCCTGGCGACAGCGGAGCCTCGGCGGGGACTCGAGCGTCTCGCGGTCACGTGATCGCCCGCTCACGTGACGCTGCCCGCCACCAGGGAGAGCCTCAAGCGCGCGCGCCTCGTTGCTCGTCGCGGCGCCATCTTGGGAGCGCGATCAGACGTTTTTCCTTCTTTCCTTTTATTCTTATTATCATATTTTATTCACGTTTTTTTCGCTAGCGCGATTCCGAGATTGTTCTACTGATCGATGTGACTCAATTTTTTCATTATTTATATTGTTTGATTGAGGAAACGGAACGAAGTGTCTCTAAGCGACACCCAGAAAGGAGAATAGGTTAAGAGCCGTCTAGTGTCGATGGCCACGATGGACCTGTCAAAAATACCGAACGAGAAGAAATTGTATCTCTGCAAATGGTATTTTCGTGGTACGTTGACATCGCGAAGCTTTAAGATCCTAATATTGATAGTTCGCGCTTGATGATTTATAGAATACCGTAGAGTGGGATAGTTGGTACAAATTTGACAACACACATGACAAAATTGGGACGTAAGACATCTTACAATCGTCTTAAAGAGACATTTTTTTATGCTTTCCAGGAAGAGACAATGTAACAAGTAATCGTTTTATCTTTGTTTAATAAACAAGAATATAATGATTCACCTGTTATACTGTGTCATCTGTATCTCTTATGTCCGTTTCCACCAATGTAGATCAAATTTAATCTCGGTTCTCAATTTACTCTTCATCTTTTTCCAATAAAAATTAGAAAAAGACGAAGAGTAAGTTGAATCGAGATTAAAGTTGATCTACATTGATGGAAATGGACATTAGGCCCAATTCTATAATTCACAATTAACTCTTAACTGAGGTTTAACTTATTTATTGTTTCTTTTCAATTCTAGAATTGGAAAGAAATAAGAAACAAGTTGAACTTCGGTTAAGAGTTAACTGTGAGTTGTGGAACTGGGCTTTATTGGAAGATACCCCTTATCTAATTCTGAACACACTTAAGGTATATTCGGGACACTATTAGTGCTATTTGTGTCATTCTATCTTCATTGTTTATTAGATGTTAAAACAAGAATAAATGGCACAAATATCGCTGATAGCATGCTTCTCGAATACAGCCTTACTGTCCAATCATGATTTAAAATTCAAACCAGAGTTACTTCATATTTCAATATTACAATTCAGACCTTAACACATGTATGGATTAGCAGACGATATCTATAGATGCTCCATCCTTAAGTATGTTGAAAATTGATTGAGAACTAAAATTAGATTTAGATTAAAGTATAGCTATAAATTTGCAGCAGTACATGATTCTTAGTGTTAAAATATAATTCTTATGTTGTTAACTTCTTTAGCTGCGTTCTTGATTTTTTGGGATAGTTGTCTCTTCTCTCCAAAATCTTTCTTCTAAAATCTAAATATGTATATATAATTTAAGTACAGAGAGAAAAAAAAATAACGCAGTGCACAACCAAAAGTCACATTTTACAACAACTTGCCAATATTTTCTTCAACTTCTCTCTGTTACAGCTGGTTTTGCACTGCTGCCATTCCTATGGGCCGTGAATGCGGTTTGGTTCTCAAAAGAAGCTTTCATAGCACCACCTTACGAGGAACAGAAACAAATTAAGAGATGTTGGTGTCAATCAATTTATTTTCTACAACGGATTTTAGTCTCTCCTCTTTAATGATACGCATTTACGTTTCTTTCAGATGTGATTTTCTCTGCTATCGGAGCAGTTATTTGGACAGCTGCTTTATTAGCTTGGATAATAATCTTCCAAACCCAAAGAGCTGCTTGGGGTGAATTCGCCGATTCTATCAGCTACATAATTCCCACTGGTATTCCTTGAGCTTGATACTCCATAGCGGTACGCAATAATTTATTGCAGAAATATATGCATTCAACAATTATATATTAAACTTTGTAATATATTTATGTCATGTAAGTTCATATGGTAACATCTGATATGTAGCATACACAATAAAAAAATAACATTCTTTTTTACATTTTGTATACATTAATAAAAAATATCAATTTCGAAAAGTAGCAGCGCGCTATTAGCTTTTCTTTGTTTAAAATTACATTTAGATGCGTGTAGCAGTTATGTGAAAAAGTACTGTCCAAAATAGATTTCCATATATTTAAATCTCTCTCTTGCATCCCTTTAAGGAGATACGAAACTAGAAATTATAAATACACAGATTCAAATATGTAAAAACTGACATACCTCTCCGCATTTATACGCAACAATTAGCGAATTTTATTTCGCGTTCTACATTTGAATAACTCTTCGTCTTTGCACATATAATCTTATATCTCTGTAAACTAATCTGGACAGAAGCTGAAACAGCAAAACATGATATGCATATTATTTATAATGATACTTCGTTTTAGTATCGATGAAAACAAACTCATAAGCAAAACAAACTCACCAGTAGAGCGAATAAATCCGCACACATGAGCATATAAAACACATTGTGCCATCCGCCCCACCGAGACACTAAACCTGCTAACAGCGGACCAACTGCAGCTCCAATACTACCAGTTCCATCGATAATGGCAGTCACTGTAGCTAAAGCTTTTGAATTTTCTCCTAAGCTAGGATGAGTTCCCAGTTCGGCCGACACAGCAGTCGTTATTAATGCATAGGGACCGTTCACTAAAAGCCCTCCTATCAGCAGTAATACTATATTGACGCCTAGACTAGTATTTCCGATAGAGTCATATATAAATAACTGAAATATATAAGGCACACATGTTAAAATGATATATACATTCAAATCTATATTTATAATATTGCATATCATTCAGAAATAAGAACATTCTTTAAAACAATGTGCTTCATTATTTAACGAATTTATAATAATTTATATAAGCAATCATTTTTTTACAGCTCATTAATAATTAATCTAATAATGTTGTCATTTTGTAACTGCAAAAGTCTGCATGTGGTAAAATTCAATGTATTAAGGAAAAAATTGTATTCACCGCGGGAAATGCAAGTCCAAACATTGCGGCGCATGTTAACGCGCTCATGCCACTGTAATCAGAGATGATTCCAGCTGCTATAGCACCTATTATACCACCCACATCAAACAGAGTCGACAGATCCGCGCTCAGAGTTGCGTTGTATGTAGCTGCAAGAAATTCTTATTGAGACGAGATTATATAATGAGATAGTAACAATAAGATTATTATTACGAATACCTACTTGTAGCTGCGATGTACAATGGTAACCAGTAGAGGAATGTATAGCTAACAAGCTTTGCGAAAAATAGCGACAAGGAATATTCGATGACACCTGGTATCTTTATGGCTCCTATGAAATCGATCGCGCTATTGTGAGATGTATTATGATCACGTCGATGTCCAGACAGCATTGGACTGGTTTCAGAGCGCTCATTTGCCACATTCTTTGAAACATATAAATTACATATTACTACTAATAATATTTATATATGTTAGATGAAAGCAGTTGTGATATTAATAAATGTTATAGTGACACATTGTTGTTCAAAATACATATTCTCACGTGGTTTAAGAATTATGAATAAATTTATGCATCATATATATAACACATGCATTATGTGATTATGTTACATTTTAAAGCTAAATAGTAGTGTTAACTGTAGGGTGGCATGCACTTACGTCGGTAGTAAGTTGTTCACGGTGGATACAGCGATAGATGACACGCTAGGTAGAGTAGATGCTTATTTATTATGGAAGTGTAAACTATAATTCTACTAAAAATAATTAATCTTGACATTTGCATTATTAAAAAAAACCTAGGAAAACTAAAAGAACGAAATAAAATTGTAATCATAGTAAAGTATAGAGAACATGCCTATAATCAAATTACAAATGCATGCTATTACGTGTTAATTGAAAAATGTATTACGCTACAAATTTTACACTTATTAAAATTAAAAAACATTTATTATGATAATACTAATATTTGCTGAGTGAAAAAGCGTTACAAATATTTAGCAACTATGGCAAACTTACATCCTCGTTGACACTATGAGATTCGTAACCTCCGTCAAACGAGTCGTCGTCCGAGCTATTCGTTACAATTTTTCGATATCCGAGAGAAGCAGGCGAGCTATATCCTATGTCGATAGGATTTGGTATTAGGAACAGGAAGATCACGAATCCCATCAGTCCCATTATCACTCCAGGCACAATGAAACTCAAACTCCAATCGGACTCGACGTATGCCGCCGCGATTAAACTACCTAATATATTTCCTAAGGACGTATGAGAGTTCCATATTCCAAAGATCAAGCCACGCTTGCCTTTTCCAAACCAATTTCCCACAACAGTTACTACACCTGGCCATCCAGAAGTTTGAAAGATTCCTCCTAGTGCCTATGTAAAAAGAAGAGGAAAAATATGAAAGAACATCTTTGTTAATATGCTTTATAATGGGTGCTTTCCATTTAATAACATAAGTTGATGCAAGTTGTTCTATTTTTCATTTCGGGAGTAACAAAGACAGAACAATACTTGGATCAACTTGTGTCATCAAATAGAAAGCACTTAATGTATTGATATTCACCTGCACGAAAATGAAGTACCACAGATTGTGAATATTGTATGGTTTAGCGATTCCAAATAGGTAACATGATATGCCTGACGCGAGCATACCAATGGAAAGGAAGTATCGCAGATTTACTCTCTCCGCTATGAACCCGCTGTGTGAAAAGAAAAGACAATATTATTGAGAAAATTCCCTTGTACTATGGAAAGTAATAAACTCATTTCAAGATATCCACCTGAAAAACATAGCCACTGCATATGCAAACAGAAATGCTGAATCCAGTATGCCAAGTAATGCTGGTGCATCCTCCGTATCTGTAAAAATAATGTAATAAGCACAAATTATTTGCATATACGAGTGTTTGTTTCCTCTATGCAGAAAAATATGTTTAAAAAAATAATTACTGTTTACTTTTTTTTCTTATAAATAAATATATATATAATTTTTCTCTTATAAATAATAATAATCTTTAACAAAGAATATTTTTTTATAGCTAATTTAAATGTTTCAAACAATTAATATTTAAATATATATATATTTAAGTATATATTTTTCTATTATCCATTATCTCTCCTTACCAAATGGAGCCCAGTCACACCAAGTATCCTGATTACTGGCATTTACAAAAATATTCCCAGGTACTGGTAGATTGCTGCAATTGAGACTTAGAACATTCTTCACTACAGATATTGGTTTCCGAGTCAAATGATAACAAGTATATGCTAGATAAGTAAGCGCCAATATGCCTCCTTGGTGCCATGCAATCCAATTGACACGACGATGCTCGCAGCAACCGTTGCACATACACCTTGTACATTGCAAACCCCATGGTAGATCTCTCGTCGGTCCATTCATATTAATACTTTTTTGTAGTATTCAATGTATTTTGTACTCTTTGATTACAGGATTCTTTTTGTGTAGAAGCAAGATAAAATAATTTTTTCGTCTTATTGTAATTGACGTAGTAAGTAAAATGCAACTGAATTTAATTAAATAATATTCAGATCTCACAATTAAATATTAATTAGCTAAATAGACAAACACATAGAGATCTCTTGTGATCTCTGGATAAGTTATTCAAATATGGTGTTATTCCCACGATGTTTTGCATAATACTGATCATTTGTTCACAAACGTCTAGCTAAGATAAAGTGTCAAACAAAGCCTAAACTAAGTTTTAACAATGACACTTATGACAGTAAATAAATGCAGCTGTCAATATAACCTAGAAATAGAACAAAAAGATTTGTAAAAAGTTTAAAGAATGGTGACTACTTAGCAACTGAATATTACCTACATTTGAAAGTGATTCCGGAAGCAGATAAAAATTCTTGGTAAATGCAAATCCTGCCTATTGTCTTTCTTCTCCCTCCTTTTTCTTCGAAATGCAATGTTTATACTATCACGAGATGACTATTGTACGTCAGCAACGCCCATGGACGCACTCCTGCATAGGTGTGTTGAGCGAATGTCTATCGCGTCGATGCTAATTGCAACGTTTTTAAATATAATAATTGTTACATGATCTTTGAACAACATTAGTGCCACATTAAGATAAACATATCGATTGCGTTGTGCAACTCCATTTAACTCCATTGACGTGAGTCACGATCGATTTGAGGTTATGTCGCGACAAATATTCCCTAGTGAAAATTTTTCTCTGAATTTTTCAAAATTTTCTGAGTAATTTTATAACTTTCTAGGAAGTTGTTCAGATTTTTTTTTATACAAATTGAAACACTTTTTAGAAATCCAATTCCAAAAAAGTCTATATCTTTTTTAGAATTTTTCATACATATAAATTAAATATTCTAAAATTTCTCATTCTATAATTCCTAATAAATCTTATAAATCTGATAAAATCTGAAGAAATTCACAGTATTTTTTAAATAATTGTAGAATAAGCAATCTTAAAAATTTTAGGATATTTTTGAAAAAAATTATTCCAATATTATTCTAAAATTATTCTAAGTTATTCTAAAATTATTCTAATTTATATAAAATTTCTGAAACAAATTTTCACCAGAATCTTTTTAAAAGAAATTTAAAAAACTAAAATTTTGTATGTACATAAATATAGATGTATAATACTTATTTACTTTATATTCTCACATTACTGTAATTACAGAACATTTATGATTACAGAACAACGTGACAGAAACACAATTTGGACAATTTGTATCACTATACAATGCCATGAGTGACCTCAAAGTGTATCCTTATTTTTACAAATATTGTTGATTTGTTTATAATAATATTTGCTATCCAATTTACTACTTTTAAAACCTTAACATTACACAGAGAGTTGTCTGTGCCTTTTCCAAGTGCCAGAGAAGCAGAAGTTGTATATCAAGTGCTTCGAGTCGATGAGGAACCACCGCGTAGTGAAGCCACAAAGAATCTTACATTAAATAATAATATTTTAGAAGTGTAAGCTTAAAATTGCATTAAGTATTTGTAAATATTATTTTACTGACATTTATTGTTTTCTGTACAGATCATTCAGTGGTAAGGAAGCAAGGAAAATACGTGTGGCACTTACATCCTTCTTTGATAATCTACTACTGGTCACAGAAACCATCGAAAAATTTGGTCCACCCGAGTCGACATATAGTCATTACGGAGCCAACAATTAGCCAATTATATTTACCTATTACTTTTCAAATATATATGCGTTATGGAACACACTCCTGCGCCTTACGGTCCCAGGGCTGTCTATGGATATGCTATGTATATCGGATCAAATATGTTGTTCCTATTGTACGTGATATGGGCGATAATACCAGACAAGATGTTGCATGATTATTTAGGACTGACCTATTGGCCCTCCAAGTATTGGGCAGTTGCAATTCCTATATGGGCATTGACTGCTCTAGCTACATTTGCATTTTTAATTTATCCTGCTATCAATATGTTAATAACTCCAGACATCGATGACATCCGGACTATTACGGACAAGTATGCCCTACAAAATGTCGAAACTACTCCAGGCGGAATACCGACTGTATCTGACATACCAATTACAGAAGTCTGTAGGAGATTATATTTGAGAAAAAAATAATCTGTAATCATTTACCAGAATAATTATTTTTTTTTACATTGAGGTGGATGTACAGTTAGAAATAATAATTAAGAAACGCATAATATGCGAATCTAACAAATAAATGACAAATCTCTAAGCGTAGTCCTGGTAAAAAAATTTTCATGCATGAATAGGTATAAATATGTATAAACATATTTATTAAACATATAAAAACATGCATAAATATTCATAAACATGTATAATTATATATGAAATATGTCTATACATTCTTCTATACATTCGTCTATACATTCTCGTTTATACATTCTTTTTTCTTTTGTAAAATTACTTTTTAGTGTAATAAAAATAATAATAGTAATGTGGAAACATAAAAAATAAAGGGATAATTTTCGCATTGTTTGTTTTTTAGATAAAAACAAGTTTGGAAAAATGTAAAAAAAATTGCTTATACATAATTATGCATAATTTTATATATAATTATACATAAATAATTTTTTTACATTTCTTCAAACTTGATTTTTTTCTAAAACAAATAGTACCTTTTTAATTATTTTTAATATTTTTGCATTACTATTATTATTTCTATTATACTAAAAAGTAATTTTACAAAAAGAAAAAAGATGTATAAATATGTATGGACATATCTCATATATAATTATATATGTTATGAATATTTATGTGTGTTATGTATGTTTAGACATATTTATGCATATTCATGCATGAAAAAATTTTTTATCAGGGTGTAAAAGCACTTTATTTAAGAAATCTATTAAGAAGACCAAATAATAAATGTTATATAAATTTACATTGTAATTAAAATCCATAATTTTTTGAAATTTGTATTACGGGACCATTTCCAAAATAAATGACTACTCTATTCTATAATACATTAAATACTTATATAACATTGAGATCTATTAGCATTGAAGATTAATCGACATTGTTTTCCTTATAACATAAAAATCATATAATCATACATAATTAATGATACATATATATATATATTTTATTGTGTATATACATTTTATATAATTATGTAATATTGTGTACATCACTGTAAAAGACTCAGTCAGAAATGATAATGGAATCGACATCGAATCGAAAGCATCAAATCGATGTCGAATCGACGTCGATTCGATGTCGATTCTATTATCATTTCCGACTGAGGATGCTCCACGCTATACATTACATAATTCGATGCTTATTAGTATAGTCCATGAAATGAAAGTATTAACATTAGATTTACGCGATGATCTGATTTATAATGAGAAACTTAATTCTCGAAAATGACATGTGCGAGCGGAATGACGCTGATGGAAACGACAATCCTTCCACACCCGATTTTCATATCGAGAATCCCCGTAAAACGGTAGTGGATCTGCGACAATTGTTAAAAGATAAAATCAGCAAAAATGAGATATTTTGTAGCTTTGAAATTGTTTCCATGAGGAAATCCGATGCGTTTTATCGAAGGTCTGTATAACTAAAAGACATCGGGTAGAATTAGATCAAGCACCAGTATGACACAATGAGTCTTAAAATTAAAATGTTAAGAATCTAAAATTAAGAACTTAAAATTAAAATATTAAAATATTTTTTTCGAAACTTTCGATAAGGATTCGTGGTGATATTTATTGTGGTCATAATTGTGCATGATCCTAGATTTTTTAAAAATAATATTTAAATTATATGCTGCTCAAGAACACTGTATCGAGCATTAAAATTCATAATACATGTTATAAATATATATTTATATATAAATATTTATAACATATAAATGAATACATAATACGAATATTATAGACTTCTCATAGGTATGGAAGAGTATGCGCCTCTCTTTTATGCGTTAACGTGGCATAACAAAGCAACTTCCGACAATGATGGTTATCTGCCATTGGATCTGGTGGAGAATTTTCCAGCCAATACTCTTTTACATCTAGCAGCTAAAAGTCTAAAGCGTGACGAGGTCATTTATATCCTGAAAAAAGCTATTGCTTTCGGAATAATTAATATATTTGCATTGCGAGGAGGTAATTTAAATTTTTCGCCAAATTTCCGATTTTCTTAATCGTGTCTTATATTTATATTTATAATTACAAATATATCTCTAGTATTTTATTAACGTGGATAAAATTAATAATTTTTTAATGGAAAAAAATTAAATTATATTAGGTGTTGGAATTAATTCGTAGCGTTTTTAATGAAAGAATGTTATTTATTTCACATGAGCATTAAAAAATACATTAATGAAAGTACTTCCCATCACTTATAAAACGCTACGAATTAATTCCAACACCTAATAGAATTACAAATTATTTAAAAATTTTGAAACAGTTTAATTAATTATTGATTAAAGATTTATTGGAATTTGATCAAAATACTTTTTTAAAATTTGTATTAAATTTTTTGCGGCGGCATAATTCGAATCCCCAAAAAGCAAAAAAATCTAAATATTAAGATATATGACTTAAAAATTAAAAAATATATTTTTAATTTAATTGTTGAGATATATTTCGACAAGCTCGAGATACAATCGCATTAATGTATTTCGTAATGTCGTTATGTTTAACGATTGATTTGCATGAGATTATATCAGATCCGGAATTCGCAACAAAACCGATCCTCAAGTGGCTCGAGTTTTATCGATCTGTCCAAGTGTTTAAAGCCTAATTTATAATGTTCTCTTTGTTTTTTGTTTTTTACTACTTTTTGTTTTTATTTTCTTATTTCTGGCGAAATAAAAATTGATAATCAACTTTGAAAAAGACAAGAAATGCGATTGTCGATAAAATGATCTCAAAGAAGAAAAAAAACATGAAGGAAAAAGTAAGACACAGAAAACAAAGAACATATTGAAAATTAAATTAGGCTTTATTCCAACACGCATTGTTTAGATTTCTTTGTGATGTCTTCAAGCCACACACGTTCATATAAATTTGTCATCTTGTCAAGTATACATGCTTATGTAAGCCATCCAAAGAAAAAATACATTAAATATGTATCATTACTGCAATTAAATTAAATTAAATTTAAATTTATAGTAAATTAGTAGTAAATTTAAATTTACTAATAAAAATTGTGTTACTTTACTAATAAAACTTGACAAGTTTACTTGAAGTGATGAGTATGGCTGGCCTTAAATAGCTTTTAGACAATGGTTTCAAAAAACATGTCTTTTTCTAATATTTTATGTTGTCTGGATTGTCGGGAAACACATTTAGTCGAATTGCAGATTCGTTATCCGAGAATGGTGACTTCGAACATGCAGCGGATCTGGTAGTTTTTATCAGACAACAATTTGGCAATACGTTCTGCGTGTGCGTTGCGGGTTATCCGCAAATGCATCCCGAATCACCGTCTAAGAAACTCGACTTGTATTACCTGAAAGCGAAAGTAATGATCGACAACGTAGTTGTGCGAGTTATCTTATATCTCTAATTTATCAAGCAAGAAATGACACATTCAACACAAAAGCAGCAACATTGTATTGTTTGTATTACGGCTGCTTGATTGCATCAACGTTACTTTGACTTTATAAGTGAAGCTTAAAACTCTCACTTTCTCTTTTTAAAGCCAAAAGAGAGGACGAGATAGAGAGAAGCTTCGATTAAAATAACATTGATGTAATTAGGCCTAAGATCTAGTATTCGATCTGGATTGCTCATGTTTTAATGAAACTAGAATTGCATCACACAATTAATACAGAATTTCTAATAATTTACTAAGCACAAGCAATCCAGGAAAAAATGTATCATGTATTGTAAGTCTTATTGCAATTAAATTTTTAATTTAATTTAATTTTCTAGTCAATTTAAATTACATTCCTAGTAATCTCTTGCTCGGAAATTGCCCAGCGAGCAAAAATTTCAGTTTTTAAATACTTACAGGTGGAGGCGGGTGCGGATTTTATCATAACGCAAATATGTTTTGATTCTCGAGTCCTAATAAATTTCGTGAGAGATTGTCGAGAGATCGGGATCCAAATCCCGATCCTACCTGGGATTCTCACTCCGACAAATCACGCGTGCCTAGAAAAAATGATAGACATATGCAGGCTCGATGTGCCGATTAAAATTAAAGAAGATTTAACACGAATGAAGGACGACGATCAAGCGGTGAGGAAATATTCAGTCGATTTGATAGTGCAAATAATTACGGACGTGATTAGAAATGGAGCCACGTATGGTTTTCATTTATTCACACTTAATAGGTAAAACATCAATAATGCCTTAAATTTAAACAAGAGTAATACTAAATTTAAAAAAAAATTTTTTTTTCATGTTTCGCATGTATATTTATATTGTAGATTATCGCTGGTGGCGGAAATATGTAAACGCATAGAATCTTTCAAAGCTGAAAACTTATAGAAAAACATAATATCCAGCAATCCTTGAATGTCCTTGGATCCTGAAATTATACTGGAATTTTATATACACTGAACGACGAAATAGGTGATCCTTTAATTTTTTTGCATAGAGTATATTTTGGAAAATTCCTAGAAAAAACTCCGAAATTTTGGAGCCTGGTTATAATTAGTCTTTCATTCTAAAAAAAATCAGAGCTTGAAAAAAGAAAAAATAAGAAGAAGAAAAGTTGTGTTTGAGTATAAATCTCCTCCCTTAAAGATGCAGTAATATAAATTATCAATATCATAGAAAAACATCTTACGAATGAATTTTAGAATGAATTTCATTAGTTTAATTTTCTATTATTATTAATAAATCGATTAATATTAATCAAAAGAAGATTACAAACATATGACTTACTTGATCTTAATCATAATTTCCAATTTCTAATTTCATCAGAAACCGTAACAGGTTTTCATTACAATCTTATTTATTTATTCATGTAAATAACAGCAGATGATAATAATAAATATTCCATAAATGTGTGTTTAATTATCTATAATATTAATATGTAATTTCATGAAATTTTATTACAATCAAAAAGTAATCAAAACTAATAACATTAAATAAAATTTATAAAAAGTACTGATATTTTCATTTATATAGTATGTTTTTCAAATTACAATAATTATTACAATAATTATTTAAAAAATCAATTTCTTCGAAACTATGAGCCAATGAAACGGCTGGACACGTATCGTTTTTTTTTTTCGCTCAAGAACAGCCTAGTCAGGCCTACTCACCAGGTGATGGGATCAGGGATTTTGATGCCTAAAAAGCGCAAAATCCCCATCACCTGGTGTTTCCCTTGTTAGATTCAGTGAAAAAAAAATCTTACAACAGTTGCAAAGTTGTTTTTTCTACTTGAACGCAGCCCTTAATTAATCTGTTCGCGTTGCTTGAAATCCTTGAATATTTTTACACTTAAAATGAGATAGATACATATTTGGACGTTGAAAAGAGAGAAAGCGAAGATGCTGAGTGCAAAAAAGTACGTACAATGCGAACAGACCGATTGTGAAATTTCAAGACGGGGCGCGCCACGGCTACAGCCGCTCCTGAAACAGTCAGCGCGCCGCGTCGCCACTCAAATGCATGCGCGCGCAGCAGCAAGCGAAGCGGCGCGGTTGGGACCAGTGGAGGTGGAGGAAGACGGAGATAGTCAAGTAGGAGCGCCGCGGCACCGCGTGGTTCGGTCGATTAGTTAGACGGTCGAGTCAGTCAGTTTGAGGGTACGTGACATCTGCACAGATTACAACTTATACAAGAAAGAGGATGGCACTATTTCGCTTTACTCCGAAACGCTGCCTCGATGTGCAGGTGAGTCTCGTCTTTCTTAAAACTCTTCCCCTTTCTCACCCCTTTTTTCCTCCTCCCCCCCCCCCGTAGGGAGGAAGTTAGCGCCGCTCTCACGTGATTTCGCGCCCTTCGAATTTATCGTTTGTTCGATACAAAGAACAACTCGAGCATTCGAAGTTCCGCGGACGTGGACACCTTCGAAAATTATCCTGGGGCGATTTTCGTCGACCACGATGATTTTCACCGCCGCGAACGGCTGACCGCAGTGTTCTCTATCGACCGGCTTGGACAGAACCCTCCCGTTCCGCGAAAGAACGTAGATGAGTTCTGAATTAGTCGATACAGAACCACGATCGATTTCACGATCCGTCCTTCAACAGAGCATTTTTCTTGTCCTATATATGGTGCTTTTGAAAAGGACATTTCTTGAGTGTGTGAGTCGTGTACATGTATGCTTCTTGCAGAGTGTATGTGTCGATCAGTCGTTTGCGAGGGGTCTACCATAGAATTAAAGATTTTTCGTTTTCGGCCGAGTGACGGGGGGAGGAAGCGGCAAACTACGGTTTAACGTGTGTTCGTGTTATGTGACCTTGTAGGAATATCATTAACCGATCATCAAGAACAAATTTGTTAAAAGTAAATAGCTTTGTATGAAAATTCCTTTCTTTAAATAGGATTTATTCATCGATTCAATTCATTTCCACGTTTATATTATATATATCCATATATATTTAGCCTGAATATGTCTGTCTAAGCGTATGTTGCGCGTGATTCGATTATTATGAACATTAATGAATACATCTGTTAAAATGTGTAAAGCTATCCAGCAAACATAAGTTACATGTAACGTACCTGTTGTAATTCAACACTATAATTGTAATTAATTTAATTTCGCACATGTTATATTGTTGAGTGGCAAATTACAATTAACAAGTACGTTACATGTAACTTTGTGCTTGCTGGATAGCATTGTATCAAATTTTCTTCAAATAAAGCTTACAGTATACATCCGTTTTCTCTCTCTTATCTCTATATATTTAATAAAATATGTCTGTCTAGGCGAATGTAGCACTTGTTTCACGCAAGACTCAAACCTTATAGACCTAATAATGGTTAGAAAGAAATTAATTTGACGTTGACGAACTTAATTAGCATAACCTTATATACTCGGTGTCTCAGAAAACCGTAGTTCCTTTTTCTTTTTTTTTTTTTAGGAAAGATCTCTCTTTGGAGTCTGTTAAAGACTTCGATATTGAACTCTACATTGAAATTCTGGAGCATGCTGTAAAGAGAATTGCATAATAATCGGATTCTCTAGTTTCCTTCAAACATTTAAGTCGAACGATTCCTAACAGTCGATGCCATGCGTCTTCATGTAACTCCAGCGGTGCACTCGGTGACACGTCACATGCACGTAAAATGCATCGTGTTTGCTAGCGCATCGAATCGATTTGGGAATGTTCTGAGATCGACTCATTCGTCCCAAAAATGATACAGATTTATTTCCATTGCAAATGAATTCTAGCACCCACTTAAACATTCTTCCAGCCTACTTTAAGTTTAACTTTAAATGAATATGCTTTATGCCGAGGAAAATCCCACCGCAATATGCGCACCGCAATTTATTTCTATATACCTAGTAACAGGAATTAAGGTTTCCTATTAGCGTGAGTAATATATTGACATAAATTAATGTTTATTGTCATTGATGTATAGTATACATATATTCAACAGTATTTATATAATTAAAGCATAAAAAAGAAACATTAGATATTTATATCTAAATATATTTTACATTCAAAAATAAAATAAAGTGTAAATAAACATAAGAGAAATATTATACATTTTATATGTATTTATATTTTAATATATTTCACGTTCAAATATATTCATTTTATATTTTATATTTATATTTTATATAAAATAAATATAAATGAACATGAGAAATATATTATACATTTATATACATTTATATCTTAATATATTTTACGTTCAAACGCGGAGAAATTATACACAGTGACATAAATAAGTTTTCTATTTAATAAAATAAAATAAATGAGAATAGAAAATATATTATACAATTTTATATTTAGATACTAGAAAAAATAAACAATGTCTCGTATATATGTTAATAGTAATGAGATGGTATCACATTCAGTTTAAAAAAAGTAGATAACTAGTTAAATCCTTGAGTTTAATCAATATAACGTTTTTTCACATCTAACCGTCTTTTAAAATAATTTTTTAATTGATAGTTTTAGAGTTTGTGTAGGAACGATCTCGTGCTATCTGCATCCGCAAGTCTCTAAAGATACACCTGTGCTTGACCCATATTTGGTATTAATTACGGCGTTAATTATGGTTCTTGCATAACAAACGTTTTAACAAACTACCTAATATTAAATGTTTGACTTTACCGATACAATCAGATACACTTATAAATGGAAATGCAAATGTTAATTATTGTAATCTGCATGAATTATTCATTCTTTCCACAACAAAGATAAACAGGGACGAAAGGAGATTTAAAAAAGAGAATCTCATCGCACATGGTGATTTATATTGATGTATAATTTATTATTAGCAGTAAAAAAATTATCGTAGAAAAGAACGAGCGAGTTGATGATGGTATGTTCTTCGCCGCATCTGACTGACGTCAGATATTTTTTTTCTCTTTAATTAATACATATAGAATTTTAATAGATGTATAATAGAGGGAACAAAACCGCATTGTATGTCGACTCCGTCAACTCTCAAGTCTCTCTCTCTCTCTCTCTCTCTCTCTCTCTCTCTCTCTCTCTCCCTCTCCCCCCCCCCCCCTCTCTTTCTTTTTCTCTTTTTCTCTGTCTCTCCTTACATAATACTCTATCCTTGGATAAAGATATGCAATTAACAATAAACGCATCTATTTATCTATCTCCTCTCTTTCTCTTTCAAAATAGAGAAAGAGAAGAAATAGATAAAGAAGAACAAAGAATTTCACAATCGAGTTCGAACTTGTGCTTCTGATTTCATCTGAAGAAAATCCATTTCTATATGCGATTACACTCATTACGCAATGCGTCTTCAATGCATTTATACACATTCGAAATCCACTCGCGTGCATTCATTCGACTGACATGCGTCACATGACTTTGCAAAATTAATTATACGCGGTGACCGAAAAAGAAGTGTCCTCATCTAGGAGTAATTTTGAGCATTTTGAGATAATTCACGAATCTCTGAATTGCACGATTTTTGCAGTTTTCCACATTCATCAATATTTTATATCATGCTTTTAGGACTCCTGCACACAAATTTCCGTAAGCAGTCAATAAATCGATATTTTTTATTTACTACTGCTTACTTATATTTGTCTTACGTTCTCTACTGTGATTGGTCGATTTGCTTACGTTTAACTGGATCTACAATAAATGTTTTAAGCCTTAAGCCGTAAGAAATTGACCAATTACGATCGAATGCGAGGAGAATATTGTGATTCGTGCATTCCTTATGGCTTAAGGCTTAAAAATCTATTGTAAAAATTTATTGTCCGAGATAATGAGATGTTTTCTACAATAAGCCACTAGTCATAAATCAGAAGTCAGAAGCTAAAAATTGACACAGTCGTCAATTTTTAACTTCTGACTTCTGATTTATGACTAATGGCTTATTGTAGAAGGTCCATTTGTCTTACTGCTTACGTCTTTCTGTGTGACCATGGCCCTTATATTACTACACGCGTTTTTATCCTGTGTAGAATGTAGTCTGGCCGCAACATGTAGTTCGCAACGTGTTACGACACGTTTTAGAACAGAAAACACTCTGGAATTCGAGTGGTGTCTTTTTAATTGAATTTGGATATTTTGATACGAAGCGGCTAATACAATATGCATTAAATAACAATA